AATTCGTCGAAGGACAACTTGTCGCAAGAGGAAATCGGTCGAAGGGCGATTCGTCGAATGGGTTGAATGACGGTTCAAGGTAAACGTTCGCGGTTTCTTTTTTTATCTTTTTGCCTTTATTTTTATTTGTGTTGGACTATGGACAGCTCCTTCGATAAGTTACAAGATTGAAAGAAAAATTACAAGAGGGCAAAGAAAGGAGAGAACTTTTAGACAAGTTAAGAAATGTGTCGTCTTAGGATCGTCCCTTTGCTACCTTTCTTTATTACTTATTTTGTAATGAGCCGCCGCTGACTGTCGTCACGAAGCGGCGTCAACTGATGGGCCCGGTAGGTTAACACGCTGCCCAGTGAGACACGAGCGCCGTAGTGATTGTGCACCACTGCACCGTGAAAGTGGCGAAAGCGCAGGTCGTTACCTTAAACAAGAAAGAGGAGGTCAGTTTTTTTTTTAAAAAGCGCCTATTGTACACAATTTTTTTTTTACGAAAGAGTTACACATAAAAGACGGAACACGAATTATTATAGGGCAGTATTTGGTTTAAGATTTAAGGAGAAAATTATATATTTGGCTTTAAAAAACGGCGACCAGTTGGCCTCTTCGACGAGTTTGCCTTCGACGAGTTGCCCTATGACGAATGGGCCTATTCGACGAGTTGGCCGTCGACGAGTTGGCCTGCACCGTGCTGGGCGAAAAAACAGATGGAATTAATTCGCGCAATTGAACGGTTATAAGCGGATTGCGGACTGGCGCCGTAGTTGTGAAGTAACTAGAATCGTAATGCACTCACTTTTCAGCATTTTCTGTTTCATACTACACGTAAGTATTATTATGTCCTTCTCATATTAAAAGAAATCAACAACTAAAAACCAGGTGGGTAACATTCATTCCTTTTGAGAACTTGTAAAAAAAAGGAGTCGAACATTAACATATTTTACATCCCATAGCCAGCGGTCTAAACACGCTTATCAGCTGCAATTTTAAGGGGGTTTTCTACAGATGCAGATCATAGAAATATTTCTTTTTCAAGAACGTTCATTTGACCCCCCCCCCCCCCCGGCCACGTGGTCACGTGGCCCTCTGAGGTCACGTGACTCCTCTCCCCGAGGTCACATGACCCTCCCTCAGTACCCTTCCCTACTCCTCCTCAAGGGCTGCGCTCTAATTCGGCGTTACAGGAAGTTGTACGGCTTTCACTTCTTTTTTTGCGCTGTAAGGCGGGCATTTTTCAAAACGTGCTGTATAAAATATATATATATTTTTACGCGCGCATTATTGAAGACTGTTCGGTGGGTTCGGGCCGCCGATGATTGCCAGGTTGGAGTAGTGTATGATATTCCGGTGGCCTGTAGGTTTTCGTAGGTGGAACAGATGAAGCGGTTCCTAAATAATATGCTTCTTGATGCCATGCCATTCCATGATTGGCATCATGGCATCATGATGCCATGATTGGAGAGGCCTCAAGCCTAAACCCTATGTGCTACATAATCTATGCTACGTTAGAAATATCAAAGTATAATATTGTAAAACATTAGAGTAAAATACACTTCCTATTGGAAACCTAGGTTTTTAAATTTCGAAATTTTATATTTTTAATGCGAAATTCAAGTTGATAAAAAAAACGGAATCATTTTTTAGAATATTTAGAGGCTTAAAACACAAAACAAGTGCATATACCTCTAACGGATGATTCTGGATAAAATAAGGGTGTGAAAATAACGCGACGCAAAAAAAAGAAAAAACAAATTAATTTTTTTTTTATACAGCGTGCTGAAACTTAACGAAGAGTGAAAACCTACTTTGTTTTATAATTTATTTTTCAGTAATCGTACATAACAAAGGTAAAAATTTTGCTTCATTTGGAAGGCAATGGAAGGTTTTACACGTGGTATTATTTTAAAAGCGATGCTAAACATAGTCGACTCAGAAAAAGATCCGCAGTTTAGGTCACAGTTGTTCGCGGAGACATGTTTGGGGATTTTTAGAAAGATTGGATCGACGAATAATAAATAGTAGTTGGAATGTCGTTTTATCGACTTGCATATATATCACAAAAAAAATATAGAAGCTCTCTTTTCAATACTTTGAGATTGAGAGTGGTTCAAAAACGCCACAAACGACGATCGTCAAAAACCACTATCGCCACTTGCTCTTTTTTAGCATATTTAGAGGCTTAAAACTCAAAACCAGTGTAAATACCCCTATGTATTCTGGGTAAAAGAAGGGTGCGAAGAGAACGCGACGCGAGAAAAAGAAAAGAAGTAAAAAATTGTTTTTGTTTTCTACAGCGTGCTGAAATTGAACGAAAAGTGAAAAAGGCTTCTGTTTCATAGCTTATTTCTCAGTACTTGTACATGATAACAACACAAATTTAATTTGGAAGGCACTGAAAGGTTCTACACGTGGTATTATTTTAAAAGCAATATTAAACATAATCGACTCAAAAAAAAAAAAAAAAAAATCCGCAATTTAAGTCACAGTTGTTCGCGGAGGCGTGTTTGGGGATTTTTACGAAAATTGGAGCGATAAAAATAAATAATTGTAGTTATAATTTCGTTTTACCTACTTTCATATATATCAAACTAAAAAATATAGATGCTCTCTTTAGAATACTTTGAGATAGAGAGGGATTCAAAAACGCCACACACGACAATCGTCAAAACCTCGTGGTTCTTTCCCGCTTCTTTGAGGTTTTTTTTTCTCGGAAACCAAACATGTCAGGACATTAAAATAAAAAGGACTGTTCTTCTTGGAACATGCTCCACAAAATATAAAAGTTTCAAGCAAAATAAAAAATACGACTGTCACTCGTTGCCTGAATCCAATTGAAACCGCCCATATATATATATATATATATATATATAACTTTTGTTGATGGGTTTTTGTTGGCCTTATCAAGCGTTAGTGTGAGGCCTGTGACCGGATGCACGAGGGTGCGCTTGATTAGGTCTTTAAAGGGGCGATGCAACGATTTTTGTATTTTGCGCAAATACCGCTTAGAACGGATCGTTAAGGACCTGTGAAATACCCGTTTGTTTTTCACCACACGCAATCGAAGTCACAGAAAAAAATAAAGGAAAACGAGCAGAGGTCATCCTCTCAACTCGCAGCCAGAACAAGCGGCCACGTGATCTGGAGCCGATTATATGCCGCCAATGTTGATCATAGCCATGCGCCGGGGTTGGCAAGAAATAGGACACGCGCTGCGTTCCAGACATTGTTATGGTTCGGCTGTTGTCGTCATTGCAGCGATTGGACACAGGACACTACCCGAATGCTTCTTGAGCTGTCGATTATCACGAGCCCAAATTGAGTGCCCACGCAATGCTCGGGTCCAATCTATAAGCCGCATTCAAATATCGTCACTGGGTGGTACTGCTACCGCCGAGCTACGTCATCAGGTTTTGCGAAGGAGAGATTGAATGAAAACGCTCGGTTTTGTCCTCGAAATTACAGCGCAACAAAGGAATTTCTTTGGTCAGTAATGATGAAAATCATTACTGACCTTTGCATTGAATTGCGTTATAATCTTGGTCAGTGCCGTTGCGTGCGAGTATCCTTGAGTCCCATTAGTGCCAGTAAGCTCGTGTAAAGTGAAAAACCTTCCAATTGAATATCGTTGCACCGCCCCTTTAAAAGTAGGGTGCTTTGCTTCGAATTGTTGCCTGTATCGTTGTTGTGTACGACGTGAAGTCGTTGCTTTGAATTGAGGTCATGACGGGTTGTACCTTGGTGGAAGGTCACAAAGACGTGTCCAAATCCCGAGAGACGTGTGTGAGAGATGATATATACATGGTTGTAACTTGTGTCAATAAAGTTCAGTGGCCGCGTTTGACACGTTTTGTGTTTGACCGCTTCTTCAACCGTCGTCTCCGGTTTTCTAAAAAAAATGTGTAACTATTAATACTATCTTCTTGGCTATTCGTTTAGAAAATAACACTGCATCTGTCAGGTGGATTGACGGGACACTGACGCACTTACTTCTCCCTCGCTTTCGATACAGAATGCATCGTTACATTTTAAGGCCGTTTTATCTGCGTATCTCCCGAGAATTGTTGTTTGTTCTAATTCTGGGTGTCATGGGCACATATCCCAGTGCACTGCCAGATTGTCCGGCACAGGGACTGTTTTACTGACCATGCATGCCATCCTGCTACCACGCATGACCCCGCTTGTTATCTTGCTTGCCTGTTATCTTGTTATCAGCGGCCCCTGGAATATTTTGGCGGAGTGCCGAAAATGGCCCGCGTAGATATGGAGCACAGTCGACGGCGCGATACTGCGAAGTGCCCCACTAAGAGCTGTAACTGTAATTTCGCTGCAAAATGTTTCATATCTTTAGAGATCACTAGCCACCCCTGCAACAGACAACCACAATACAAACCATCCGCTGCACCTGAACCGGAAACGTTCCTCATTAACAGCGCTTTGTGCAGCTGCGCCACGGAAATGTTCTAGCTGAAGCTACAAAGTAAGCTGCACTTCAGAGTATCGACGCATCAGCCCTCTCGGTGCTCAAAAACATTGTTTCCAGTTATCTTAAGCTTTACCTCAAATCGAAGAAAATATTTTCCTAATCCAAAAATGGTAAAATCTTCCTTGACAAAAGAAACGATATCGCTCTAGCTTCCTGGTATCGTATAAGGCTCAGGAAATTGCGTTTTTGAGTTGCAACTACCGCATCCGCTCTCCACTAAGCAAGAAAATGGCGACGCCCGCAACACCATAAAGTGACAACACTATAAGCGGAGCCAATTCAGGGACTCTAATTTTAGCGACAAGCTGTTTTAAGCGCACAGTACAGGGTCTATGAGCGCAACTTCAGGAAGTACGTGCCGACCTTGCCGCAATTACCAGGCATCCCCCTCCTCCGTCCCTAGTATTTCCCAGCTCTCATTGCGACAGCCACGCTTCCATCCTTCATCTACTATCCCTCTATTATCCGGTGAGCCCTAACAAAAAAAAAAAAAAAACACCCTTCCTTCCATCCGCCCTTAGGGATGACCAAGCGACACAAGCCGACGTACATGCGACACCCCGCCACGGGCTGGGTGTTTCCCCGAGACGGTTTCGACTGGGAAGACTTCGAGGTAGCTTGCCGATATCCGCTGTCCCCAAAGGACATCGTGCTGATGACCTACCCCAAGTCCGGAACGACCTGGGTGCAGCACATGCTGTACCTTCTGGTAAGGGACATGGTCCCCGTACCGGAAGGACGTCGACTGGACAGCTTCGTACCTTACCTGGAGAAAGGAGGACTGGACTTGCTGCGGGGACTGGACCTGTGTCCCCAGCCCATCAAGACTCACCTGTCTTTCACGGTGATGCCGTGGAGCGAAAAGCCGCTCTACGTCCTGGTGCTCCGCAACCCGAAGGACGTGTGCGTGTCCCTGTACCATCACGTGCGGGGGTTCTCTCGGTATTATCATTTTGACGACGGGTGCTTCGATGACTTCTTCGAGGAGTTTATGGAGGGCAACGTGGACTCTGGAGACTATTTCGATCACCTGCATTCACTGTGGAGCCGCCGAGAAGAGTCCAACGTGCTGGTGCTCACCTATGAGGAGCTCAGAGCAGACCCGTTGGCTGGTGTCCGACGTCTGGTGGATCACGTCAGGTAAGGATTGATGGATGCTGCATGCGGTGCTGTGACGGCAGTCGGGAATATCACCGATTGTCTTTTCAAAGATGAAGTTATATTTGTACAGGTAACACAATAATGATGTTCCTGGACAGCATACATGTTTTTTTTTGTTTGCTTCTTGAACATGTTCCTAGATGATATTAAAACAGTCAGTTTTTGGGTTAAAAAGAACCGTGTTTTTCTCACCGCGAAACTAAATTATCCATCGCCCCAATCGCGGCCTCCGCCTAAATATAGCGCTATTGGTCGCAACCGGATTCCCAAGTTTTACAACTTACCCCTATCTGATTCAGAAGTTGGAAGCAACTTTGGTAAATTTTCAATAAGGCAATAGCGGTCAACAGATCCCGCGAATATATGGACACGAATGACGTCTGGTACTGGAAATCAGCCCCATTTTTCCATCAAAGTTTATTGAAAATCGTTCGTAAATTTTGAATGAAACAACGGTACATTCTGGAACTTTAGCATTTGTTTCAACTGCGCTACATTTCGGACTGAGGCTGAGCGTATGACAATACGAAGTTTGTTTTGCGGTGAGATAAACACGGTTCTCTTCGCCCACAAACGTTCGATAGCTTAATTGAACCAAAAAAGCTGTACATCACAAGTAGAATTACTTCTCCACATGTCGCAGTTTATTACAAATGCAGATTAGTGCAGCTTTTTGATAAAAACACAATACTCACCTTACAAAAAATAAATAATTGCACTCTGAAAACAAACAAAAAACGTTATTTTAATATTTGTTAAAAAAATAAGGAGCGTAGGAGTCACCTAAATCATTTTTTTTTATTATCGCCATGACACACTTTCTTGTCTCTTCTGGGGCTGCTGTGACTTTGGCGATTTCATGTACGCGATAAACGCAATGCCGCTGCCTTCGCACTCTCAAGGTTAGCTTTTATGCGCTGACAGTAGGTCGCATGTAGCAGGTGCCCGCCGTTTTTACCCCTGGAACTAACCTTCTGAAAATGTGCACAAGCATTTCCCAATTATTGCGAAGCCAGTCGTAAATATAACTGAAATTTACAATAATACCCGATAAAACTGCATACATTGGCATTTAGATTAATAAAAAGTAGTGAATTAAATATACAAAGTACTCTAGTAATATTTAATGCAACCATTTTTTTGTCTAATTTTTACTGAAGAAGCAGATAAGCGATTTTAAAGTTACTTCGTAGCACGTCTAACCTAAATGTTATTTTCCTCATAGGTATGAAGAAACTTTACAAAAAAGTTATCAGTTTAGCATTATTTATTTTTCATCTTGAAATTAGATCTTGAACTCAAGTAGGCTTGAAAACAGATGATAGTGTTCAGACTAGTTTATTCGTTTAACTAAATCTCCCCAATAAAATAACAGTCATAAAGCACGCAAAAAAAAAAAACTTTTCCACACATTTTTAAGTTTATGCGTGTGTGTGTTTTGTTTTGAAAGTTCCATATGGTGCTGGAGAAGTCCAGCTTTGACAAGATTAGAGATCTTTAAAACATAGAAAGCACGAATAACGCTTAAAAGGGCGAATCATTCTGGTGATTCTGCCCAAAGTGCGGTAATACGCGATATGTTAAGAAAATTTAAATTCAATATCTCAAACTAGGCCATCCCGTATTACTGAGACGCGCTCAATAGTGCAGTTATTTAGGCCGTATCCAAAGCTGATACGGGACTTTTTTCCTGGGAAAATATATTAGCTTCGTCTTATTTGTGTCCAAAAACAAGTTGTTTTTGCAGCGGTCTGTCCGGGCTGTAAAATTTTGCTGCGTTTGGTTGCATGCCTGAAAACCACCAATAGCCCGAATGAGCTTAACATCATCTGCGAATTGTAAGATCTCCAGTGATGACTGCATGCCCTAACACCGTCCACGAATATGTTGAAAAGCAGAGGCGCTAGGTTAGAACTCTAAGGGACGTCGGATGTAGAGCAGTACATGCGTTGACTTGGCATCACCGTATGTAACAGAATGCCATTGAACGTGTTCAGATAGTTTTCAAACCAATTACAAATCGGTAGAGAATACACCATACAATTGTGTATATATACAGGGTGTTTTTTTTTTCTTGTTATTTTTTTAAGCTTAACAGATTTGTTTTAAAAAAGCCGTGAAAGCTACGCTTATGCCGCTTGTGGATGTGAGTTATGCAGCCAGGGGGACATATTATAGGGGGCTAATTGTAACGATCAGTCGGATAATTAATTAAAATTCGTTAATTAACTTTTTAATTAATGAAAATAGACATATGGTTCCAATTAGAAACTTGCTCAGCGTCATCGAAAACCACTAAATCAGTAATTTTCAGAAACACATTGAGCGCGTGAGAAGCGTAGTAGTGCACTAAAGTTACCACTCGTGGAGCAGGTACAAAGCTAGCGGTTGCGATAAGGCGCCCGCGCGATTTTTCCGTCACGTGGGCATTCTCCGAGCTGGGCATTCTCCGAGCGCTTGCTAGAGTGGGCCGTTTATAACAAAAAATACAGCCACCAGGCTCAAAATAAAAACGTACGATTGTCATTTACGGATATTGTGGATCATATTCAACCTACTTTTTAACACGACGGACATATTTAAAATTTCGTTGAAGTATCCCTTTAAACAATTTAGTTCCATGCTTTTATTGAAGAAGCAGATGCAATCAATGTTGAAAGCCAGCACATTTTTTTTTTCATCTTTAGTTGAGCACGCAGTTGGAGTGTTCGTTTTTAAATTTTGTTTTGGAAATTTGTCAAATACAGAAACCAAACGCGCGATGACCACCGGAAGGATAACCCTCGTTTGACGCTGGAGGGCCACGTTTTGATTACAAATTTTGCGTCTCATATGCGTCACAGTGCGACGGAGCCGATTGCAGTCGGTGTTTTGGGGATTTAGAACTAAAGCGATAAGGTATACCTTATCGGCCACGACAAACTGCTTCGCTTTACTATGCGATATCAGAGAAAACGTTTCTGCGCCTTCTGTGATGTAAAAAACCTGTCTTCCGAAACTTTGTGAAGACCCCATGTTGGACTGCACTGACTGAATTTCTCATCTACAACTGAGACATCAGATGCCCGCTGGGGCTAACACCCGGCTGTATAAACATACACACAACACAATTACTGTTAGAAACCTTCAAGTGGTACTCTTATAAACATTCAAGAGAAGAAATAAACAATACCTAGAGGCCAAGTGAATTATTCCTTTATTTTCGTACAAATTTCTAATTTTAGATATATTTACGTGTCATAAGAAAGGTGGTACTATTCATCATCAGCAATGGTGAAGGACTCCTCGCTTATAAATAAAAGTTACTGTAATCATTCATCAGCTATAAATTGAACCTCCGCGTTAAAAACAAATCGTTGCTATTTTTTTTTTTTTTTTTTTGATAGATTATGTTTTGGTAAACGTTATATTTCACCATTTTGACTTTCGTTTTCGTGGTTACAGGCGCAGTTTTCCGTCGGACTGGCGTGAGCCCGACCTGAGGGAGCTGGTGGCGGCGAGCAGCTTCGAGGCCATGAAGGCCCAGTCCCCGGACAAGTGGTCCAGCACACGGCCCGAGGGCGCTCCCGCCTTCATCCGCAAGGGCCAGGTCGGGGACTGGAGGAACTACCTCACGCCGGAACAGACCGAACGGCTCGAGCGGAAGTTCCACCAGAGACTCGCCGGCACGGGAGCAGAACAGCTCTGGCCCACCGAAATCGCACTGCCAGAAGGGCTGGAGCCAGCATATGGACCTCCGGATAGGGCTAAAGTCAAAGTGGCCGGGATTTTTTAAAGACTTAAACGGTCGTAGTGATCAACTGTAGTGTGAAATGTTGCATGAAATGCTTTTAGCAGAACCCCTTGTCTAAGGAATTTGTCTGTCCTTATATCCGTGCATACGCTCACAGAATTTAGCGGTAAAAATGACGTTACGTGATCTCATGGGACGTCGCGTCACATGATACTATGACATCAGGTCACGTAGCACGTCACGCGATTTCAAGCAACGTTACTAGCAACGTTACTGGGAAGGGTTTCGGATGGAAAGGAGGCGCTCGTTCAGCCGAATTACACTCGTTACATTTTAGCACAAAAGAGACTTTTTCAAGAAAACGGTATATTGAAATCTGCTTTAAAAACCGGGAAAGATATCATTGTACGTCCCACTGATTTCAGACGAACTGCCAGTCAATTTGGTGAAAAAAGAAAGAAAGATAAATGGCGAGTACCAACTAGTTTGAATAAAGTTTCTGACCCAACTTCTTATTTATTAATTTTTCCTGAGACAGCTTGAAGCACAGTGCTCACTATTCCCTCGCACATCGCTTTGTTGAACCACGGCCGGACTGGAAGCGCGCGCTCTCTTCTTACGGCCTTTGCAATCGCCCGGGAGTCAATGGCATTTTTTCTCCGTATGTAGTTCACTTGCTTGCCGCCAGGGGCGCAACCACCTCACCCCACTTCACGCCACTAGGAGAGTCCCTTCGAGCTGCTTTGCGCTGGTGTTGGAGCTTCGTAGGTTGTTGTTTTGGCAACATCTTATTGAACTTCGCTACCATTTAAGTAACTCTACCGCGTACAAATGTGCACCAAGTTCTGCAACTACTCATTGCACCCTATCTTGAAGATGCACCAATCCTAAGTTGCCCAGAGGGCATTGACAACAGTAGGGTGACCACCCGTCCCGCGACTCGCGGGACCGTCCCGCATTGAGGGTTCGTGTCCCGCGTCCCGCGAGAAATTTCCAAATCTTCAAAATGTCCCGCATTTCACACTGTCGTAAAATTCATTCCACAACTCGTGGTGCTGCCGAACAACGGGGCACGGGGAAGCGCGGAGGTCGCTAGTAATCGTGTGAATCGAAATGGTACGCCATTTTGTGTCTAAGGATTGCGGGAAGCGACCGTCATTCTTGCAGGAGAACCGACGCGCATGCGCCGTTGTGTGCGTGTGTGCGCAAAATATTGTAAGAAAAATTGCTCGCCAAAATTTTAAATACAAAATATTGTAATTATTTTAAAATTGCTGTGTAAATGCGAAAAGGTTGCGTTGGATTTTTTTTTTTATTGAAGACAGCATTATTTGCAATGGTGGAAAAAGAACATAATGTTAAAATTTTGTGTAGGACCATGTTGATTAAAGTAAGTGTTGAAAGAAAACGATAACCCGAAAATAGATTTACTGCTTCTTATTTTTATTTTATGCATTGAGTTCTGCTACAGTCGATTTTTATGTTTTCAACTTTGACACATTTAATAACATGTTTGGCATTCAAAAATATCATTGGGAATGGAAATTCTTTTAGCTTAATTGCTCCAATAAAATTAGCAGGTGTATAAACACTACAGGATAATAGATGTGTGAACAGAGCCTCGGGTCGCTGTGTACGTGTTAATAAATTTCCTTTGTCCCTCCCCCTGCCTCGCGTGTCCCGTATTTCGCTGGCAGGAAGGTGGTCACCCTAGAGTCACTCAAAGCGCTCGGCTGGTTGAATTTGCAACATGTTCCCCAGAATACTTCTGATCAACTATGTAAAGACTATCACGGAGAGAAACGAAAAATTAGCTGGATATCTGCACAAGCCCTCGAGGAAGCACTTTAGGCTGTAATGTGCACTCAGCGAAAATTGTACAGACTACTACACCCTCGTCTAGAACAGCTGACCGACTTCATGTGCGGCCTATGAAATGATGATGCAGACCACGGCAATGGATATGTTGGGCCTGCATGCTTACATTTCACGAGAGTGTACGAATTATTTCTAATCTAAAGTTCCTCCACGTAGAAAGGGTCCGTCTCCTCCTGTTCTTCAGTTGCAACAGAAGTCCTGGAAGTAAAGACGAGTATAGCTTTTATGCGATTGCATTCGCTGTCTCTACTTACTACATTTTACCCCCGAATCTCTCGGAGATGTGCGTCAAATATTCACCGCTTTGGGCTCATCAGAAGCGTATTAGATAGTGGCTGAGGGTCTAAACCTAAGGGCGTCAAAGGCTATAAAAACCTCGGCCGCAAGTTGCGACAGCTTTGAGATACACTGCCAGACGCGCTTTGTGCAAACGGCAAAGGGTAGCCCAGGGGCACCAGGGGTGAGGTGACAGCGCCCCCCGCGAATTGCGGCGGGAGGCCGTAAGAAGTGAAAAAGAGCGCGCGCTTCCAGTCCGGCCGTGGTTGAACAGAGGGTAAGAAGGGTTCGGGTTCATTGGTCTCGTCCTTCGCTTGGAAAATCAAATTACACCTTTTCTTTTCCGATATCTTTGTTTAATTTCACCCATCGTTTTCGTTCTGTCCTTTTTCGCGTCCCTCTCAAGTGTTCCTGGGACGCCGTTTGGCCGCGACTGCTATCGGCAGGGTTTTCACGGCTTCGGCCCTTTCGCCCCATCTCGTGCAACGGTCTCTCCCGCAGTTCACTTCTGACCAGAGCCTGCTCGCTAAATACCGTGTCTTAAAAAAAAAGGCTGGGTAAAAGAAGCACTGCAGTGCACCCGCTGAGCGGCACCTGAATCACAGCGCATTTCAATACTGGGTAATCAGGGCCGGCCCTGCACCATCGAGTGCCCTGGGCAAGCTCCGGACGTGCTCCCCCTCTTCTTTTTAAAGGGACACTGACAGGGTATTTATGCTCGCCGAGGTTTTTAGTTGTACGTGACATATGAGAGCTCAACTACCCAGAACAGAATTTGCGGCTCGAAATTCGGTTTCTTTTTCCGCCCGAAAACCGCCGATCTAGAACTGGCCGGTTCGAGTCTCGCTCACTCTCTTTTTCGCGGTCACGGGCCGTTTTCTAAGGTATCGATGCGACCACCAAATTTAATCAAAGTCGTGGGTCACTGAAGGCACACACTCAATATTAAAAATATAAAAAAATATGAAACCCATTTTTTGTGGCTTCTAAAAGGCTGCAAATACGTTGATTGAAAAAAAAAAAAAAGTTCCACAGACAACCGGAAGCATTCTGTGCGTTCGTCGTTTCGCGTATCGTGGGACTCGCGGGGACGGCGATGGCAGCGGACGACGGGCGTGGGACCTCTATTTCAGAACTGTCGTTCGCGGTACCGGCGAATTCTGTCTACCTTTAAAAGAGAAATTTGGGACTGATCAAAATAATTGGTATTCATCCCGTACGACACGCCCGACCACCAAGCCGATTTGCACGAAGACGTCGCCGAGCCGTCGCTCCCTTTATTTATTTATTTATTCAGATACCTACAGCGCCATGGGGCATTACAGTAGGGGGGGAGAAGTTGGAAATGAAGGACACGAATAGTTATACAAAAGTTAAAAGAGCAATATTCACAAGCCATAAATCTTTCAGTATCACAACAAAGTGCAGGCTACATAAAAAATAAAAATGCGGTCTACTAAACACTACGAACGTTACTCAACTACTAACTAGACACTACGAGGTTAGTGTTGAATAAAACATATCGTTAGGAACAATGTTGACCACCGAGGCTGGCAAACCGTTCCAATCCCGTATTGTTTTAGGAAAAAAAGAGTTCATATAGACGTCACTTTTACAGCGGAATTCCTTGACCTTATACACATGATCCTTTCGTTGCGATATGTAATCTGGCGGGTGAAGGTAGGCCTTTCTATCTATCCCAGTCCTACAGTGAAATATGTTATTAAAAAAATTCAGTCGAAGGTTCTTCCTTCTAAAGCTTAACTCCTTCCATCCTAGGCTCTGTTTCGCACGAGTCATACTAAGTCGCCTGTCGTAGCTGAAGACATCGCTAGCGCAAAAGTCAAGCACGACGTGTCTACTTCGAGTTGAATATGCACGCATACGATTTCTTTACTAGGTGCGAATGTCGCCAATGCGTGGTGCTTCTCGACTTTGACCCGGGAGTGCTAGAGGAAAATCGGCATCAAACTTTCGAACTTACAGTTTACCGGCTGAATTATTACTAAGGAAAGAGATCCACCAGGTAAAGAGTTTCCCCAGTAGCTCGGTGGGAAAGACGTCCGCTTCACGCGCGGGAGGACCGAGTTCGATCCCCTTGGAACCCTTTTTTTTTTTTCAGACATTTTTTTATGTTTACATATGTTTTTTTTTACAATTATCACTGAAAAAACAAACAAAAAATAACAAACAAATGTTGTGGACGACACTTCGCTGAATTAAATGGTATGGGATTTCCTTTTTGACACCTGCGAACTCAATCACTTTCCACAAAATGCAAGGACCATAAAAATCAGGTAGCGTCCGCTTTCTGAGGTGCCCGTATATGTTCTACAGGAGTTGCAGCCAGCCGTTTGTCCCGATCCCGTTGATCATTCGGAAACTCTGTCGCACAATGCCCCTTTTTTTTCGGACGCAGGACATGTGAGCCAGCTCTTCACGCAACATCTTGGGTGTATTTTTTTCGGAGCCGATCATGGAAATTCACCACGGGCACTCACTACTCCTCTCCAACTCCTCAATGTACAAAACAACTCATCTTGGAGTACAGAACAACGAGCGGAACAAAAATAACTGCAAAAAAATCGCACGGCGAACAGTTCCCGTACGCCGCATGTCGTGTCGTCTGCTACGGAGAGGAGAAAAAAAAAAAACAAAAAAAAAAAAACGCACGGTCGGGTGTAGCCACGTGACTTCCGCCACTCGCTCTCTTCGCTCCACTTCTCCGACCTCCCTCGGGTTTCGGTTTCGGTTTCGAGCAGTTGCGTCTCTTGGCCTTATTAAAAAAATACGCTACTCTGTTGCAAAATATTAAGTGGGTAGTCCTCCGACACCATAATAAAGCGCCTGGCAAAAAAAAAAAAAAAATTGGGGGGTGTCAGTGTCCCTTTAAAGGGATACTTCAACGAAATTTGAAATAATCCCGTCGTGTTCAAAAGTAGGTTGAATATGATCCACAATATCCGTAAATGAGAATCGCACGTTTGTATTTTGATCCTGGTGGCTGTATTTTTCGTTATAAACGGCCCACTCTGGCAAGCGCTCGGAGAAGGAACAGCTTAGAGCACGTGACATCCAACGCAATCGTGACGTAGGTCGTCTCAAGACGAGCCAAGCTACGGCGAGGCTGACGTCGAGAGGATGGCCTAGTCGTTCCAGCCACCGAAGCGGCTGCTTTTGTACGAATTTTGAGTGACGGGTTAATCTTCTATAATCTTCTAGGGGGACAATAGCGACTTCTGCGACACACAAAAGGGATTCTTGGGAAGAGGGGAGTTCCTCCTTCCCCCCTTCTCTCGTCGTGGCCGGAGACGAGACAACCTCCGTCACTAGCTGCTAAGGTTCCT